TTTCCCTTTCTGTTCTAAATTTAGGTTTATTGTCGCCAGTTTTAATAAACTCAATTTCGTCTTTTTTGAAAGCTCCAATACTTGATGCGCTGAAATTTCTGATTCGTTGGATCTTATCCTCCCAATTGTGCTGAAGATATCATAAATCTTTCGAGCTGTAGCAATTCTTCTCTTTATAACATTAACAGAAGTACCACTGGGAAGTAATTTCTTAACATCAGCAACTATCTTATTCTGTGCCGTGCATAGGGGGATCGATATATTTAGTAACTCATTAAGTTTTTCTGCATCTGCTTTCCCGAACTGGTAATAAGACAAGATGACTTCTTTTTTCGTACGAATCACATTTCTCTCCGAGCGAGCGAGTAATTTTTCAGCTTGATCTATATTTTCATATAAGAGAAGAAACCCCTGTGCAGTCGAGGGGGGGTATTTCTTCCATTTCAGATGACGCGTCAGAATGGGGTAAATCTTTAGAAATTTCTCGAAGAAAAGATTTAACTTTAGGAGTATTTCCAGGTTTTAAAGCTTCTGCAAGATCACCGATATCCTCTTCAACTGCTTCTATATTTTTAATTCGATTTTGGCAATTTTTAACGAGGCAGGTAATGTTTCCATCAATTGCAAAAAATCCAATAGCACAGTTGAAATGTAAGATATGATTGCATTCCAAGACAGCGACTGGTTTTTTAATTGGTTCTTGGCAGATGCAACATGGATTGGGAATTTGGTTAAGAATATCTGATACAGAAGTGGGTGTATTCATGATTAAAAAATTGATTAATTTTCGGGAAGCGATTTTTGAGGTAGATGAGAAAAGTGATGGGGTTTTATACTTCTTGTATGAATGTACCGCTTATACCCCAAGCCCTTAAAACAACTGGAATCTGCTAGAAAAAAAGCTGAGATGATATCATTACCAAAGGTAGTCTTGCTTTGATACGTGAAAAATAAAACGTGCCACCAATGATCACGTAAATGGAAATTTTCTCGATGAACATCAATAGGCTGACGAAATCCAAAAAATGGAGCGATTCTCTCGAAACAGCAAGCAATGGCATCTATAAGTGAAAATTGGTCTATTAGCATATATACACAAATGTGGGGTTTATTAGCGGAGCAAGCAAAGTGCTAAAATTTGCTAAATGTTTTATTCTCCAAAATCGCTAATTATTATAACGAAGGAGTAAAGGTGTCTCAGATATTTTTTTCTTCGCCTTTTTATATAAAAAATTACAAATCGGAACTTATTTATAGATTTGGACGGGAAAGGGTGAGAAATTGCCAGAACTTTTTATTGCAAAGTGGCCTATAGGGAAGACTCAGGGTATGTAAGTACCTTTTTTCCAAAATAAGAGTCATGGGTACCCACACGCTTTACGTATTAGTTAGATTAATAATTATCTGCTCTTACCATATTGACATCAGCAATCGGACTGCTGTTACTGTATCACCAATTATTACAAATCAATTGATCTTTTAACTAACCTGATTAATTTATTTTTATAATAGTCTCGCTTTTGATCTGCGTTCTTTAATGAACGGAAGTACCAAAAAGTATCTCCCGGGATTTGCCGATCACTTCTGCCAGGGTAATGCGTGACTGTTAGAGTACCCTGATCGTTACTATTGATTGCGTAACACACTACATTTTATTGCTATAGATCCAGTTTTATGTGTGAAGAAAGAATTCTTTATTATTTATTTTTTTCAGTGGTTAAGTTAGATCTGTTTGTTTCATTTACAATAGCTTTAAAATAGCAGAAGAGCTTCAATTGTTTAGCGTAAGCATGTTGAAAAGTTTAGAAAATGTAAAGACGTATCTAATTCAACAAGAGGGTGCCAGCAGCTATTAAAAGCTGTTAATAGTTTGGCAAATTCATTCGTGAAAAAAGGATAAATTCGATGAAACAAAGTAGTATAACACAATTCTTAGTTAACAATTAGGAATATTTTATGTCAAACCTTTTCCGTAGAGTTGGCTGGAAAGTATAATAATAATAAAGGAAAATCTGTACATTATTAAAATGTTTTTCCTAATAAGGAAACCCTCTATAAATGCAAAACCTCCATAAATGCAACGCAGCACTCGGTCCCGAGGTGTTGCATTTAGGGAGGTGTCACTGTATGATAAATGCTTAATTTACTTTATAATAATAAGTAGTCATGCAGTAATAAATAGTAATTCCGACTGTGCATATCTTCATTGTGATCACTTACGCAAATAATCCCGGAAACCGGAATTTATCGTGCTACTACTTACTACTACTAATACTCCAACTTAGCTTGATATAAGTTTTGACATAATTGTTATTATTATTGGCCTTACGGAAAGTTATTTGTTACGAGTTTACTTCTGCAAGTTGTGAAGGTGCGGGTCCGTATCATTTCACCAACAGTTCATTTTGCCAACAATTAATTACCTAAAAGGGATAATTTGAAACAATGTTGGTAAACATTTGTCGGTGGAATGATTGTCCTACAATCTAAAATTACCGTAATATTAAAAAATTGTGCCAATTATTTCATCGCATGCATCGACAAGAAAGCGATTAAACTTATCAAGCTCCAAAAATTACATTCGATATCTCTCAATAAACTATGTTTTTGGGATTCACTTATTTAACGAGGTTATCCTATAATGCGTTATAATTTTGATGCTGTTCGTCAAATTTACACGTTCCTATAATAATAATAATAATAATAATAATAATAATAATAATAATAATGGTATTAGCGATGATAAGCAATAATTATTCATTTTATCCAATTTTGGTAATACAACAAATAATCAACTGATAGCTATAATTTCCCTTCTCTCTTCATCTTATAACGACACAATTTTTCTTCGTCATCGAATCAATCTTTTTTGTTTGATAATACGGAGGATTACTCCAAAATTAGTAACGCAGTCAATATGTGTAGATCATATATAGTATAATCTTGATATTTGTAATGATATATGTAGTAGGTGGTGGTGGTGGTGTGGTGGTATTAGGAGTGGTAAATTATTGGTATGTATGATGTTAACATTATTGATATTTAATATCTAAATACAGAATTGCAATATTGTGTATTGGTTCGGTTGATCAGCAGTTATGTCAGTACAGGAACTGAGACAGTTCCCACACTCGAATATAATGGGTTCGGCAAGAATCCATACTTCCCTTAAAACTGGGCATTTGAACGGGGCAATTCATACTAACAAATGCCTGTCAATGTAAATAAGGTTTACTAATCTTGTAATCGCAATATTCAACGTCGTTACCATACAATTATAGACATATCAATTTTTGCGTTGGACGAATAAAAAATCGTGATTTGCAATTTTTTTTTGCAATGGTATGTATAAATTTGGTCAACATATGAGTAGTTTGTTAAAGATCGACATTATATCTGTGATGTAATAGGGCATTTACACGGTGGGGTATTACACAACTGCCTGAAAATGCTAATTTCTTTTCATAAATGCTTAGTTCCACGATATAAAAAATCCATATATAAATATCAAATTTCTTTCTATCTTCCTCCTTTCATTGATATCTTTCGGCCACCTTCTACACGTCGACGCGTTTTATCTGTGAATAACAGTGCGACAAGGCCATGGCCGGTTCGCGGGACAGTGTTACGTCCAATGGCAGCTCTAGTTCTTCGACTGCTCGTTCGTGGGGTTTGGGATCTATTTTCAAGGGGCTTTCAGAATACAAAAAGAGGCTTAACTTGCCTAACCCTGGTACTTTCGAGGGTCTGCATCGGGAAGTTAAGAGTGAGTATGACCTTTGCGTTATGGGTGGCCGAGGAATGGGGGCATGTACATATTATTGATTACCGGAAAGGAAAGAATGCGCGTGAATAGACGCGCCTTTGGATTATGTCCGATTATACTGATCCGCCCTTTATAGCTACTTTCCTTACCAATCATCTGTTCGATGGGGCACGGGCTGACTTGACAAAGGTATTATCACAAAATTTCCAAGTAATGCATCAATTCACACTTGGATCATCTGCTGGACAGCAGTCATATAACTTTGGAACTGCATATGTTGGGACAAAAGTAAGCATATACTCATTTATGCGATCTCCTGCGAAACATTACTTATATTCCTACGGAATATACAAATGGTTTTATTTGGGAATGTTCATACAGATTGTCTTTTCATGCATCATCAGACTGTCCTTCACGGTACTGTCGACACAGATGGTAACTTGTCGGCACGTGCAAATTATATGTGGACCCCTAATTTTGTAACGAAGATTCAGGCACAGGTAGGAAAGGCCGTTGGAAACGACTACATTATTGTTTTGATTGCTGTTTAATTTCATTATGGCTATTACGTCTGTGATCTTGTTATTTTCTAATACTTATGATCGATGCTAACACTATTGTTGTCACTACTCATCTTAATGTGCCTTTGCATCAGCTATCACCAACACCGGGACACTCAATGCTCCAGCTGGAACAAGATTACCAAGGCTCAGATTACTCCATCAATTTCAAGACAGTCAATCCATCGCCAGTAGATTCCACGGGCATTTTCATACTAAGCTATCTGCAATCAGTAACTCAGAAATTGTCCCTGGGTACCGAGATAGTGTATCAAAAACTAACATCTGATTTAGAGGAGACGGTCAAGCAGTACGTTATGAAGTATACTGGCAAAGATTATATTGCTACATTAAATTATCAGGAAGCAGGAGCATTACAAGCATCTTATTATCAGAAAATAAATGAAAAAGTGGATTTCGGTACCGAGCTGCAGATGTTACTTGACGGCGGCAGAAGGGCTGTATGCACTGTGGTGAGTCTATTGATAAGACAAGAGAGGGAAGAAAAATATGACCGTTTGAGAAACACGTTAGACTTGCACAAAAGCAAACACATGTCACGAATAATATGAACGATCAGTTTATTTATCAATCTCATAATTTACCATGCTTGAAGGGAGGTAAATTCGACTTTCGTGCCGCGACAATTAGAGGACAAGTAAGTTTAATTATCTTGATTGTGTTACAATTGTTGGCGTCAAACGCATCTTGAAATCGTTTATCTCTGCTGAAAAAAATCCTAGGTCGATACAACAGGACGTGTGAGTGTGGTTATAGAAGAGAAGATTGCCCCTGGTTTTAGTTTTCTAATTACTGGCGATATGGAACATGCCAAGGTGCGTAACGAGGTGTTTGCCGATAGAAGTTTTACATACTAGTACGTAATAATCAATATACGTTTTATGATTTCTTGCTTGCAGGGACAATCACGATTCGGAATTGGTATTCAAATGGAACAATAGAGTAAAAAATTTTATCTTACTATAATAAAGATATTAAAATTGTGCTTACAAACTTGCATTATTGTTACTTGAATGTGCGCAAAGATTATCAGGAACGATCTCTTGCTCGATCAACGGAGGCCTTTGTGGGAAGCTTTTACGTTGGATGCTTTCCTTATGTTTGTTCATTCTCCGTTACGCTAATTTTCTATTTTTCGTTCTTGATACATTTTACAAGTCTTTTTTTTTTTCAAGCTACTCGAGGATTTTTGATTTATGGAATGGCACAGTAACCTTGTTGATTGAATGTAAATATTTCATATTATACTTTTTATAATAATTCCGTGTAGACAATAATATTCTTTTTTGTATGAATGTACGTGTTAGTTCTTTTTATAAACGTGTATAGCATGCGTTTCCAAACTTATATCACAATATTAAAATTAGTTGTATTATAATATCGATGACGTCACTCAATACATTAACATTAATAACATTAATATTAAGGTCTTAATCTTGCCGTACAGATAATTTCTTTCGAGTATTAGTATTGCATATAATGTCGACCTCAGACGCTGAAGAACGGACAATCCTTTTTGACAATTCCCAAGAACTATCAGAAGCCTTTGAGCTCCAGAATCTCTCCGGAGATGAGGATGAGGATGAAGACGAGGATTATTCGGATAACGACCAGCAAACCTTTTTTCGTAGACCGAGCGAAGTCTTTGATTTTGACGATCACAGAATTCCCTTGTCTCTTTCGGAAACCCAAAAACGACCTAGTCAGTTGAAGAAGGAAGTTGGTTTTATTAATGGGTTAACGCTAGTCATTGGATTGGTAATCGGCTCGGGAATCTTTGCTTCTCCCGGACCGGTGGCTTCGCACGCGGGCTCCGTTGGGATGTCGCTGGTGGTGTGGTTTGTATGCGGCGTGTTGGTTTTTACGGGTGCTCTGTCTTATGCAGAACTGGGTGCTGAAATACCGCTGTCGGGTGGTGAATATGCGTATTTGAATCACGCTTATGGGAGCTTGCCCGCGTTTCTATATAGCTGGACGGCAATTACCTGTTTAAAGGTAGGCAAAAATCTACAAGCTATATTTGCAAACCGGGTATTGATGCTAACGCACGTTTCTACATTAGCCTGGTAGTAATGCAATTATTGCCACGGTTTTTGCTGAATATGTTAACCGTATAATCTATCATACTGCTTTTGAGAACGAATCGGATCATCCGACAGAGAAGACACATCAATGGTTCAACAAGATAATGGCAACCATCTGCATTATTGTTGTTTCTTTTATTAATGCGTATTCGGTTAAACTGGCCACTCGGACACAAGACATCCTCACAGCATTTAAGCTTGTCGCGTTGGCTGTGATTACTATCATTGGATTTGTTGTTCTTGGGAAGGGAGGGTTGAAAAATAATATCGAGGGAGGTATATTCGAAGGTAGCTCTACAACAGCAGGAGACTACGCATTAGCGATTTATTCAGGTGTGTTTTTTCACCATCATCAATCAAAAACGGTATTGAGGAATTTTTGTTGACGTGTTTGAAGTTTGATTGAATTTAGGGCTCTGGGCATACGATGGCTGGTAAATGTTTATCTAAAGGTAATATATTGTTTATTGGCGACTATAACCCATTTTTTGTTAATGGTTTCGACTAATTAATGCCTTAGGAATAATTTAAATTTTGTTGCTGGCGAAATGAAGAATCCTGCGCGTGATTTGCCACGGGTGACAATGGTCGGTCTTCCAATAGTGATTCTTTGCTACTTGCTGACAAATGTGGCCTACTACGCTGTTCTTCCATCATCCGTAGTGACTAAAACGAATACAATAGCTTTGGTAATTAGCTTTGCTTTGTTCAGCGTGGAAGCTAACCCGTGCTGCTTTTGATGCGTAACTGAGATTTTAAATTTGTGTTACGTAGGATTTTGGAAGACAGGTATTCGGCGGTGCTGGCGGGATTTTATTTGCGCTTCTGGTAGCGGCTAGTTGCTTTGGAGCTGCTAATGGTAGTCTCTTTACTGGCGGCAGAGTGATATATGTTGCCAGCAGAGAAGGTTATCTGCCTGCGGTATTTGGAAGGATTCACTCAAAATGGAACACGCCAACGATGGCGTTAGCATTGCAAGCAGTATTAACAATTATCATGATCATTCCTGGAACATTTACCACACTCGTTAATTTTTATTCGGTAGCTGCATGGTTGTTTTATTTTTTGACGACATTTGGATTAATAGTTTTAAGATGGAGGGAACCAACGCTAAACAGGTTGGTGATTTTACAAGAAGAATGGCAGCCGAATCATCGAGTTGGTTGCATACATTATATATTTAATGGTTTATCTTATCGTTGCATATAGGCCATATCGTGTTTGGATAACAACACCGATTATATTCTGTTTTGTTTCGCTATTCTTGATAACAATGCCGTTTGTTATGGTGCCATTGGAATCATTAGCCGCTCTTGGCTTTATAGTAGCGGGCGTTCCATTGTGGTACATGCAAGCCAAGTTTAACGAAATATGGTCGACGAAAGGTAAAAGTTATTTTGACATAATCAATTGATTCTCTATTATGATGTACTAACAAAACACAAACGAACTTTGTAGGTATCAAACAGTATCTAGCTTCTTTATCACAGCGATTTCACCAATGGAGAAGTCATTCACAATATCAACAACAACAGCCAGAAACTGTTGAATTGTCATAAAAGTAAATTATTGTAATCAATAGACTAATATAGACTCTTAATTTAAAAAAAATGGATGTACGTTGTGCCACAATAATCAACGTGTTATAAATAAATAGGCGTTCTGGGATAAGCTTCTCGTTAATAACTTCTTCCTATTTGGACACACAAATTTCTGAGATAGCTTATTCACGTCATTCTTATCGTCATAAAATGCGACTGAGGTCTTTTGTCTCTTTAGACCGCTGACGTGCAACATACGCCATTGATATTGCTTACGCATAGCCAGAAATATTTGTAAACCATCGCGCGAATATTAATATGCACTGTGGAAATGAAAAACACTTTCTCGTATCTTTCGCTTATATTCACGTGCACATTGACCGGTAAAGAAATTCGATTAACTTACATAGAAATGCATGCCAAATATCTAATTGTGGCGCCAGACCCCTGAAATATGTGGCGTTATGGCTCATGCTCACTACTCCCTTGTTGACAGAAATATCAATTAATTACATGCCACGTAACTGAATTTTTTTCAACCAGGCAACACACAAAACAATGGTATGTAAGGTTACTTTGGTTTCAAGAACATGTCTTTGAGTAGATTACAACTAACACTGCTTTATAATAGTCGGTCGCGGACGCTCTCGAAACACAACATGAGGATATGATTGTGGGTAAACAAATTATAAGAATTAACCAATTTTCCACTGACGAATTCTGTGAACTGATTACCCCATTCTCTATCTACCATGAATTTTCAGCATGACGCTGAGTTAGACTATTATGGTAAACGTCTAGCCACTTGTTCGTCAGATAGAACTATCAGAATTTTTGAAATTGATGGAGAAACCAAAAGACTCGTCGAAACTCTCAAGGGGTATGGTTAACGTTTCACTTTGTTTTTCGTGGTTTCGTGATACTTATAGATCTGAATGAAAATGACTTACACTTCTAGACACGAAGGGCCAGTATGGCAGATTGCTTGGGGGCATCCTCGTTTTGGGAACATATTAGCTTCATGCTCATATGATTGCAAAGTTATAATTTGGAAAGAGCAGGAAGGAAGTTGGTCGAAGATTAAGGAATATCATGAAGTACATACCGCATCTGGTAAACATATCGACAATTTAACAACGTAAACGAAAAGATAGTGACGATTCTCCCACCTGCAAAAGAAATCTTTATCTAATTGATCAGTGAAATGTTGGTTGGATATGCGGCAATTGTTACTGATCACTGATTAATCTTACAGTAAATTCAGTTGCTTGGGCACCTGAAGAGTTTGGTCCCATCCTCGCCTGCGCTTCATCTGATGGAAAGGTATCCGTACTTACTTTCAAAGGTATTCCTTTTAGCGGCATCTTGTCCCATTATTGCCGCGTTTTTCCTTTTTTTAACAATTCTTCGCTTGACCATTAGACGATGGTACTATGGAATATACTCATTTTGAGGCTCATCAAATCGGAGCCACTTCAGTTTCATGGGCACCATGTACAGTACCTGGATCACTTGTTCAGACAACAGGAGGAGCATCAAACGTGAACACGTTAAAGAGGCTTGCAACTGGGGGATGTGACAATCAAATTAGGATTTGGGTTTGGAGGTTAGTTTATCGAATAATTTACAAGAGATGTGAGGAGAAAGTTTTATTATTAAGACTGTAATATCTAACTTCATATTTTTTCTCTTGGCGCTTCTTTCAAGGGAACAAGAAAACTCTTGGAAAGAAGAACATGTCCTTGAAGGGCATACAGATTGGGTACGCGACGTTGCGTGGGCCCCCAATATTGGTCTTCCGAAGAGCTATTTGGCTAGCTGTTCTCAGGTTAGTATATTCCACTTTTCGCAACCAAAGTTCATATGCAAAGACTGGATCACCATACTGATTAACACTGTTGACAGGATAAGCATGTATTCATCTGGACTCAAGATAGTCCGAACTCGACATGGACAAAGAAGGCTTTGCGAGAAGACCGTTTCAATGATGTGGTTTGGCGTGTCAGTTGGTCACTATCGGGCAATATTTTAGCAGTGTCTTGCGGAGATAACACAGTGACGCTCTGGAAGGAGAATTTAGCTGGCGAGTGGGAGATGCTGAGTGAATTTGCAGATCAATAAAGCTACAAGGTATGCGAAAATTCAAATAGGCATTAACAATGTCTTGGTTAATTTAACGTGACGGTTTAATAGCTATACTTGAATCGGTTCCAGACTCTGACAAGTTGGTTGTGTAATTGAATTTGTTATTGGAATACACAAGTTCCCAACATCAGGTCGTCGAAGGATAATGAATTAATAGATATTATATAGAGTTTGACTCACGTCTATGTTATCTGATTGCCGATTGCGGCGCTCGAATTATAAACAAATTCAAAATAAAAATGTTGTACAGTGCCGTCTCAAAAGTTACCTACATTTGAAATTAAATAAGAATTTGGCATAACGAGCAATGCAATTGCCGTAAAATTAATAATGAAGTTAGCACCTTTAGAGGTAATAACAATTGCGATAAGTCAGGTAGTATGATTGTAAATTTACCTAGGGCCGACTTTTAACTTACCGAAAACGTTAAAATGCGACTTGAATATTTAAAACCCGTTAAAAATTAATACACGTATAACTTTACACAAACTTATATTCATTTAAAAGCGCGCGAAAGAAGCGCTATCGTATTTACAAAAAATTGCCCGATTACCTTACTTCTTTGTTGAGAAATCGAATTTGAATCTAGCCGTGAGACTAATACTGAGTTTAGCGTATCTAGTATGTAAACGGTCAGGTTCACTTATACCCAACTTCAATCGACCGAAACGTGAAAAATTAAATTTTTCGACCTGAACGTTTACAAAAATAAAATTTATGCTACGATCCGATGCAAATGAGTATATTTCTCGTGTAATCCGGGCCGTAAAACAACCAAATCGTCACGCAGGCGAGCGAAGCTTCGGCCTAGGCTCAGCATACCATTAGGACCTTTGCCGATAATTTCGTCTTCATCAAGAACGTAATAAATTTGTGCTTACCTGTAGATCGGAATGGGGCACGTGAACGTTTTGCGCACTGTATGTGCGTCAATGCCTTACCTCTTGTTCTAAAATGCTTATTTACTAATTTCTTTGTTGTTCTGTTAATTTCGTATTTTGTTGTAATATTTTCTCTCTAATTTAGCCTTAACTAGATGTTCTTTGAATTTTTTTAATAAATCTTTCGCTTCTTCTTGCGATCATTGTATTGTAAGCCATTTCGAAAATGTTGGCACGTGTCACATAAATCCGTTCGTGGACTCATAAGGGGTTAATTGGTGCCATGACTTACGAAACGCATCATATTTTAACAATTTCAACGTACTATTATTTTCAAGACCAGCAATAAAATTACATAGACCGATTTATTACTCGTTTCGGCTGGCAAATAATGTAAGCGATTGAGTAATGCGATTAACATTTCTACCCAGACTTGGTAATCTATGAATATTAGCAGAAATTTTTCACGGCAGCAGCAACGGTTATATCAATGGTTATCTTGGTTTTCCATCGCGGCATTCGTTTATGTTACCATAAACGCGCGGTATTATACCATTTGTTGCTAGATGGTTTCTGACGTTTTCGAAGCGAGTTCGACCAATTCCTAACATATTGAGATAGGTTTTTTGACAGAGCGATCTCAGCGTAAAACGTTCGCTTATTAGTACGCGTTTTCTGTTTAAGACGCCGGCTGGCGGTTATTTCTCTACCATTTATTGCTTTCAGTTGGGCCATTAAAATATATCTTGTTCAGGTCTAGAGAGAGCTTGAAACGTTTCACATAATTCGGCTCTCGAAATCTTTTTTGAACAATCACATACACAATTGCAACCTGTCTCCAAGAAACGCATGGCTTTTTCATGTTCAGTTGAACTACTATAATTATAATTTTTCATATACGGGTAATCCTATATACAGTATTTCGTAATTCTGGATGGGTTATCATCAATTAATTATGTAGTAACTATTGGATAGACTGACTAGCAGATTTAAATCAGAGCAAATTTTATTAATAACAGATAACCAATCAGGAATTCTGTGTTATATTAACGTCTATACATGAACAAGGAACAGAATCTACAGGCAATTTGACTATATTATTTTATGCAATGCATTTGCATTTAATACTACAATTTACATTTGACTTCTCATGCTTGTCATGTCTGTTTAAAATATAATTACAAAAAATTCCCTCTATTACTATAGTAAACTGACACTATAGTAAAGAAGCATAGTCCACTGCTGCACTTGTTTATTGCAAAAACTTTATTAATTTATAAAATTATTGGATTTGTTTAGAGATGTTGATAACCAGTTTGAGTCAGCATAAGCAAGGATTGGACGATACATCTGTGCTGCTTTCATAAGTTATTAATCTTTAATTCAGTCATTATTATTTGAGATCATTGAACATAGCTGTAACAGCAGCAACCTGATCAGTAGGTTGAATCTCTTCAATTTTTGAGAGGTCAACAAAGATTGCATGCAGGTGGTACACTCCAAGGTTTTGTGTATATGTAGCATTCTGAATTTTTCAAGATCATTATAATTATCTAGTTTGTCTTTGTGAGCATATCCAAAATATGGCATAACCAGTGCAGGCTGACCACCTATAAACTTTGCTTGGACATTAATGTCCCATGCTAATACATCATTCCAATTATTTGCTTCAATCTTCATCTTACTAAGTAGATATAGAGTCTCTCTCTCTTCTTCAGTATTTCTATTTTAATGTTCTTCTGCACCTGCCAACCAAAGTGGAGTTTGTTGAATGTTTGTTGCGAGCTTGATTACACACCATTACCTGACTCAGTGGTGGCTAGTCAGACTCAGCCTTCTTAACCACTTCCCAGGTATGCCAAGCAGATATATTTTTCGGCATTAATATTAATATGAGGCACTGACCCAAACTTGACTTGCTTAAGTCCCAAAGGCAGATCTGTCCATTTCCATGCTTGATTATCCATTTCAATATAAACTCGATTGCGATCTACCAAATAAACCTTGTCTCTTGGGGTAGAGGCCATCTTATGCAAAACTGAGGTAATCACATGAGCGAGACGCTTGTCATCTGAAAACATTGTAGATGTTACAAGACGTAATCACTGTGTGTTTCTTATTCTTACTAACAGCTTTGACAATAACTGGATTATCTTCATCCGGGAATATCTTTTGTGATGAATAATTGTCCGGAGTGGAGACAGAGTCTGACTTGGCTATCATATCAGTATCTTTCAACCAGACTGTCTGTATGTGGATACAATATTTACGTGGAGGTGCTGAAAAGTTTTGTCGTTGATTCTTTATTTCCAGAACATACATAATAATTATCAATAAAACTATTCCATTCCCTCAAAGCACTCTCCATTAACATCTATGCAACGTTGCAGACGATTCTGCCAACTCTGGAAAGACCTCTCATAGTCAGCTTTTGGGAGCAATCATTGACCTAATTTTGTTAAGGAAAGAATAGAAAAAGAATGACAAATTATTAAAGGTCGTTATGTATTTATTTATTGGTTAGCCTAAAAAGTGGTACAAAAAACTCATCAAGATGGTTCTTTGGTTGGTTGGTTTCAGTGACTGCCTGAACAGCCCTTGCCAAATGTTCAACTTTATTAAAAATTTTCCCTTCAGTTCTTTTTTGATTCGAGGGAATAAGAAAAAATCATAAGGGGCAAGGTCCGATTATATGATGAATGGGGGAGAAGTGCACAACTGCTGACTTACAGTGTGACACGAAATTATTGATAATAAATTTAATTCAAACGCGAATATCTCAACCAATTTGGAACCGAAACGCGTCATATAAAAAATAAAACAAAGTATTGATTCGCGGTAAACATTAAATTCATTTTTATTCCTTCTTTAACTTTTTTACTTCCGTAAATTTTTAATGCAACCGATCTTGAGACACAACGCCAAACCGTATTACATTATTGGAACCAAGGTGTACGTTCTGCAAAAGAAATACATCTCTCACTATGATTCCCATCCCAACTATCTATTACAACCTTCGAAACTAGTGCTGTAAAGCACAAGAAGGGTGCTGGTCGATCATCAATTATCCAGGACGATCGGTTAGTATGTACGACTGCGATCCAACCATTTCCCCGGGAAACGATTCGGAGACATATGCATAATTCTGGTTATGAAAAAGATGTCCTGAAGGCCACACCTATGCTTACAGAAATGCATAAAGTCCAAACGGGGTTGAGTGGGCCCAAAACATCTTAACGATAACTGGACAAGGACCCTGTTTACTGACGAAACTGCATTTCAACTCTTCAGAAACACTGTTGAACATTGGTATAAGCTACTCGCCCAATACCAAAGGATCGAACTAAGATTTTTGTTTGGGGAGGATTTTGCATTAAGGGTAAAACAAGTCTCTTTTGTTTTAAAATATTATGGATGCAAAATTTTATGTAGAAAGCTTAGAAAAACATATTCCAGAGGTTAATAATCTGATGGGTAAGAGATGGCGGTTTCAACAAGAGAATGATCCGAAGCATATGAGCCGCCTTGCCAAATCATTTCTTCAGGAAAATGTTCCTAAAGTTATTGATTGGCCTTCTAATAGCCCTGATCTTAATCCCATCGAAAACCTCT